GTTGGACAGCGCACGTACGTGGATCTTACGAATTCCTACTCGGCGATGCCCAACCCCAAGTATTCTCGAGGCTAATTTTTTGAAGTACGGGATGCACAGTACGGTGCAAGATGTCAACGTTTCGAACCCTCGCCAACAACGACAAATTCGACCCCCATTGTGTAGGTTCAAATGGATATTCCTTATATGCCTTCGCAGATTTGATCATCCCTGAATGGTTCACTTTGTTTGACGTCGTCTCTCTGGAGATTGGCTCAGAAGGATCGAAGATAGGCTGCCATTGATATCAGCAGTTTGCTACCGTAGTTACTGACATGCTCATTCTTTTCGCCTTCAGTCAGCGTATAAATTCACTGATCACCGAACACCTTGGTAAGGAAGCCTGGTTCTTGCTCCTCATTCTTCTTCGTCTTTCCCCTTGCTCTACCGGCAGTCTTTTATTACGCTTAGGTTTTTCATTGTGCGGTATTCTGGAAATGGTAAATGCTACATCCGTGTTCTTTCTTAAGCATCTCTCACGTACTCCTAGACCGAGTTCTGGTACGAGATAAGCCACATGTGGGTGCGTATTCTCCTCCAGTACATGTCAAATGGCTAATCGCGCCGCCAGGTCGGGACATTATTTTATGGTATCGGTGTTTTCACGGCCAGCGAGTACAGTATTAACGGGCCCCAGGTATCTACTTGGTGCTCTTCTGCATATGCATCTACATCCTTCTGCACCGACCTCGTAATCTGGGAAACACTGTCCTTTTGGTGACCGCGATCTCCCTCTTCACCCTCTCCACCATTCAGGCCATCTTCAACCTCATCCTGGGCACGGCGGACATCGATGGAATCGACATTCCGTACGACCAGATCTCCATGGCCAACGACATGATCTACGTGGCCAACAAGTGAGTACCTCCCCTCCACAGAGCTCTCTTATTAATCCTCTATGAAAACAGTGTTCTCGCAGACGGCCTGGTTGTACGTCCGCATGTTGAAATTCCCAGGTGGATGGCGATGCTGATTATTCTCAAGATATATCGCTGCTATATCATATGGAACCACAATCTATACGTGGTCATTCTTCCGATAATGCTACTCATCGTCACCAGCAGTTAGTCCCGTTTACTGCAGTTATTATTGGATCCACTCACTTTGTTTCCAAGTTTTCGGCTGGGATATCCTTCTCCCCCTCCCCCCATTTTTCGAGCTGTCTCTGGCTACCAATGTTCTTGTGACGGGCCTTACAGGTACAGTTTGGAATTTCTTGTCTGTGTTTTGTGCATGATAGATTCTTACCACAGCGGGGAGAATTTGGTGGATCTGCCGTCAGGCCCGCACATACTTGAAGACAGATACGCAAAAGCGATATGTGTCCAGCATATCCATAATGTACGTCGGACATATGCTAAGTACCCCTGATATGTCCTAAAATTTGCCGTTCAATATCTACAGAGTCGAGTCTGGCGTGATATATTCAGCATCTGTGCTGACGTATCTTATCCTTGGAGCAATACCGAGTGCGAGCGTTGTGCAGAATCCCATCGTGGAAATGCTTGCCCAGGTGGTGGTAAGTCGTCTGCTCGATTCATCAAGAAGTTCAGCTGGCTTCATCGTGATTATTCAGGGAATAGTTCCGACCCTAATAATTGTCCGAGTGGGGTTGGGTGTCAGTGTACAAAGCATCGAAAGCACTGTCGCAGCAGCGAAGGCCATGGACAACGATGCCTGCTGTCCAAAAAAGCACCATATTTTGGGAATCGTTCGCCCAGATCAAGGCATGTCTTACGAAGACAAGGAGAGCATCCCGTATGATGTTGAGAAGGGAAAGCCATACTCATATGATACTGGGAGGCCTCAGCGTTTCTGAAACACTGAGGCTTGTTCACAGCTCACGACGAGCAGCGGACTTGTAGGTAGTTCTCACTTTCGATAGGACACAGGACTTGGATGTATCGTAGCGCTAGCACCTTTATTGACCCACGCACGGCTGCAGGCTGTCTTCAATAGCCGAACTCGTTAGATCACTTAACCGCGAGAGAGACTGAGATCCAAAAGCAGCCCACGGAGGCGATTTTGGATGCCAATGCATTGGAGGGGTTTTTAGCTTGCGTTAGCAGTTAGGCCTTTTCGATATTGGACGGTTTGAAAGTGCTGACGCAACGGGAATGGCATATAGATTTTTGGAAGGAGGAGATGGGGAGGGAATCCCTTTAGACCTGCAACGATGGAGGTGAATGTGCACTTTGTAAAGGTAACTACTTGTGCCAACTCTTTTTAATATGTCTTCCCCAGCTTACGGCGGTCTTTCAAAGATCTTTCCCTTCATTTGCCCAGTTCATACAAAAAAACGAAACAGGTTGACCGACCGACCAGGAAGGTTTCACTCGAGTTTTTTCTCTGCAAAATTTCAACACTTGAACGGTTTCATAAATTACGGGCGCCTCGAAATGTGTGCAACCACAGAGGATAGACGGATCCCATGGATGAGAAACTAGGTACGTGGGCCAACGGGGTATTCAAACCAATTGATATGCCAGTGACAGGCCTATCAAAGTACCGAAAATCGACGCTGATGTTCTCTGCGATGAATTCTTCGGTTTGGTGGTCGGTTGGGATGTTGGCGCTGAGCCGCTAGGAGCAGCATCGACACGACGTCGAGGACCCACGACCCCGTCGCCATGGCCGCCTGCGAGTTGGAATCCAAGCCCATTTCTGCCGCTCAGCGCGCAATTGACGCCGACCACGATCATCTCAGACGCGCTTGTGTGTGAGAAGGTGTAAGAGATGTAGTCAGAGCCCTCGACCAGGGTGCCTGGTGAAAACCGTGCCACTTGCTCAGCGAAACTGAGGATGAGTTCGATGATGACCCTAGGCCTACCTGTTATTAAAGCGAGAGTACTATCCCCTTGCATCTCGTTTTGTTGCAGGGCATACGTCGTCCGCCCTTGTGAATCAACACCGAGGACTTCGGCGGTCAGGGGGGTTGGATCCGAGCCGAAGGGCGCCACGACAGTGATCAATGCCGGCTCAGCGGCCACAACTGAATAGATAACTTCATGTTAGTATCTGCTGTTTCGCTAACATTGTGTGGCTGCAGCGGCCAGTACCAGCATTCGAAGAACAGTCCCAACCATGGTGTCGCTGTGAATGAAATTTAAAAGGTGACGGTGAGGATGTGGATTTCAGGTTTTGGAAACCGCCCCATGCCATTCTTCCTTTTATGCCTCCCGCATAAGTTAAAACAACCGGTTACTGGCACTTCGGATAAGTGACTCACTTATATGGGAGTTCGATGAGTCGGAATGACAGATATCATGATGTTCCTGCACCGCCTGTTCCTTCAAAATGCAGGGTATTCGGCTGCACAGTGGGATGCATTCAAGTTCAAGTATCGCCAATGCGGGCGGCTTCTTTTATCTCAATCCTCCATACGATATACTGCGCTCGCGTTATTAGTTCTCAGGGCAGTACATGTACGATATCACATACAGCAACGAATGGTTCTGCTAGACCCTGACGTTGCAACCCGGATCCCATCAACATCGACGACTCGAGGGCAGCGGATTCGCAGGCAACGACCCCACCGGTCCACGATATGGCAGGACCACGCCCTAACTATGGCCTCTGCGCAGCTGTGCGCCATCGACCCACAAGGACCGGGAAAGCACAGGTCCATCCGCACTCCGCCCGTACTACCGTCCTGCGCATCCTTCCCCACCCTCGCTCCCCTCCTCACTACTGGCCTTACCCCATCCTCCCCACACCCGCAACCTACTCACCCTCGTCCCCCTCACCCTCGTCCGCCACCCCGCCCCCCGCTCACCCCCGTCCCACTCCGCACGTCGCGCCGCCTTTAGCGCCCGGTAGTGCGCGACCGCGGCGTCGCGCGCAGCGGCCATGTGGAGGCGCTGCGCAGGGGAGAGGATCGAGGCTTTCGTGGACGCACCGGGCGTACCCCCAGCGGAGGTTTTAGAGGAGGTGGAGTTGGACGCAGCGCGGCGGGTGGGTGCGGAGAGGTCGGGCGGGGCGAGCGCGATGTCGTTCAGGCGGCGCGGCGCGGCGGAGGACGTGTGCGCGAACTCTTTCGGACGGGTGGCGTGTTTGTCTGGCGGGGGCTCCGGCGCGGTGAGTTTGACATTCGATTTCGCGGCGGATTTGGAGGTGGACTTGGATTTGGTGGGATCGGGGGTAGATTTGGTGGTGGCAGCAGCGGTGGGCTTGCGCGCGGCGGCACGCGTAGTGGCGAGGGACGACTGCACGGCGGAGCGCACGAGCGGTCGCATATTCGTCTCTACCCGCCTGCGCACACTCGCGTCAGCACACGTACAATAGGGACGAGAGACAGAGAGGGGATTAACGCACTTGTTGAAATGCGCGAGCGTCTCCCCTGGCAGGATCCGCTGCGCCTCGCCCTTCTCCCCACCATCACCATCCACCTTCCGCCGCTTCTTGCGCGGCGCCCCGCCGTCCTCGCCACCCCCCGCCTGCTTGCGCTTCGCGCGGAAGTCCGCGCGCACCTGCACGGCATTGAGCGCGCGCGCGAGCCCCTTGGGGAGCGGCTCCGACGACAGCGCGTCCCCGCGACTTGGTGCGAGATCTGCGCCTCTGTAGGTGTTAGTCAGTGGGGGATGATGGAAAAGACTGGGCAGGGAGAGAAAAGGCGTACTTTTGGGAGCGCTGCTGCTCGCGGATGGACCGCTTCGCGCGTTTGTGCGGCATGGCGAAAAAAGGGAGTGGGTATTTGGTTCCCAGGCCAATGGCATATTTGGCTGATCGGCGATTGCCGTCTTTTCTTGCCGTCCAATACAAAAATGGTTTCTGCTGAGTGCTCCCCTGAACGGTACATAGGCGTTCCCCCTCATCCACCTACATACGTCAACGCGTTAACCGCCGCCGTCATACCAGCACTCGCAATCTCGGCAGCTGATATGTCCAAGTGCTTGCCAAGCGCCAGTCTGACTCAAATTGACTCAAAATCAGCCACACTCCATCTAAAAAGCGCAGAAATCTGCCCAGACAAGGAATTGAACCTTGATCACGCAGGAGGAAATCTGCGTATCGTAACCGTTAGACCACCTGGGATAGAGAAAGTCTCCCTGACGTGTGTTGACAAGCATCTTCCCGGGCCCATTTCAAAGGACATCTTGGTCTCCCGATAGACAAACTGAGATTGGACGTCGTTTCCGTTACACCACCAAAACGTGCTGAGAAGGTGAAGAACATTGCGGATCGGGCATCTCTCTCTGAATCCTCCCCTTGTGTGCTGAGGGTGAGGCCCAATTGATTGTGTTCTTGTGCTTTCTAATGATCCTAACAGGAACTAGACTTCATAACAATTCAAAAACTCGCCAGCCACTCTCCAAGGATCCCAGAGATGGCGCACGACCCCCGTCCAGATGTCCGGATTATATCTTTTCGGCCCTACCCCTTCAAGTCGTTAGCGCATGGTCCTCATCTGCATGTTTAGCAGCAGAAGCCACTCGTTCGATTCGGGACCGGGCTATTGGTGTTCTGAAGTCCTTTTTCATCTCGCTGCGACAGATATCAGTGGGCGGTGAATTTTATTCGGGATGCGCTTCGCCACGGTGACGCTGCTACATATGATCGCCAGCGCGGTGCTGCGAACCTCCTTTTCCCGCAGGTGCGTAGCTTCGTCCTACTTACTGGTATCTTAGCCCACTACTGAAATTAAGGCTCGGTAGAGAGGCGGTCCGCATTGTTATCATACAATTGGTGTCAGTCAATTATGGACGCTCGTTCGATTCGAGCCCGAGCCATAAGTTCGCTTTGGTCTTTTTTTTCGCCGCGTACGGGCACCTGTCGACGCCAATTGTTTATGGTTTCAGTTTGCCTGACAAACGCTGGTGTGTGGCAACTTCGTAATGACATTCACCCAGATTGGATTTATTGTTTTGCAGTAGAGTTCAATGTTGATTGTGTTGCTCCCATCGCTTGGAACCATGAAGCGCTCGAGAGCCTCGCGATCGAATCTGACAGAAAAACTATCTTGCAGAGCCTTGTGGAGCCTCAAGCTTTTGAACCCAAAAATGTGGTAAGGGACTCGGGCTCGTCATCAACTTGTTCGGTGCATGGCGACTATTGACCGGGTTTGGAAAATACTAAAACCGATTCAGGCCCCCCGGGTGTGGGCAAAACTCTGGCTGTAGAGGCGATTAGTGAGCGTCTGTTGTTCCAAGCTTCGAGTACCCGCAATGTATGCTGAACTAAACTCAGATCTGGAGAAGCCGCTGTTCGTCGTGAGTGCAGGAGACCTGGGAGCGACACCACCGCAACTCAACAGCACACTCATCAAGATCTTCTTCGTGGTGCCTGAATGGAACGCGATCGTGCTGATCGATGAATTCATGCAGCGGACGCCAGTGTATTCTTGGAGGAACGAAGTAATGCTGATGTCACACGAAATGCCATGGTTGCGGTGTTTCTACGCCAGGTAGAGTAATATATGTCAACAGGTTCCTCGCTACACTTGCCGCTCACACTCTTGTAGATATTTCAAAGGTATCATCTTCTTGACGACCAATCGTGTCCGGAATATGGACCAGGCGATCCAGTCCCGTATCGACCTGTTACCCCACTACAAGGATCTAACGCCTGCAGCCCGCGAGTAACATGGGCGTGAATTCTTGGCGAACGCACGCAAAAATGAGGGGCGTGGATGAATTCACTGCCTCCGAGATTCGGAACCTAGCTAGACGAGACCTAAATGGACGACAAATAAAGAACACCGTCAAACTTTCCGTCGCTCTGGCGGGGAGCGAAGATGTGCCGTTGTCCTTTGGGCATCACATGAGAGCAATGGACACTACCAAGGAGTGGGTACCCCACGACGATCCTGAGCCTTATGAACAGAAGTGGTCTCAGAATTATACCGAGTTTTTCTTTGTTATTTTGATTCTTGCTATTTTTTGGTACCGCTGACAATCTATGCACGTAATACGAATCTATGATCAGCTCAGAATTAAGCTCAGCAGTGAGCAGTCTAGGCCTGGTACGAAATATCAGATATTGGAGTCAGGCTTCAGGACGTGCAGGTATCGTGAGATCACGAATCTTCGGCGTGCAACGCCCAATACCTTTCCTCTTTCCGTATCTCGCACAGCTCCGGAAGTAGCTCCATGACCTCCTTCCAGTAATAATGAAACTCGATCGCCTCGCCATGCATCTCAATCTCATCTTCACCCTCATTATCCTCGTGTTCGCGATCGGTGAATATGCACCGTAAGTTCGGAAAGATCCCCGAGATAAATCTAGCAACCCTGAGAGGCTTGGATATCATCGAATATTCAACTTCGAGATGTTCCAGATTCTCCTGGACAACGCGCTTGCGGCCCCTGGCCTCCCAGGGAGATGTACGCGTTGCGTCAAACGCCATCTGAAGCGAGTGAAGCTCTGGACAGTACTGCGCAAGATAGCGAAGACCCTGAAGCGTGACCCGCGGTCGACTAAACTGGCAGGCCGACTTGAGCATAAGCTCTTCGATTTTAGGCCATGCACGGGCCATGTCTAAGATGCTGGCGTCGTGAAGGTCAAAACCAACAGGCGATTGAATGTGCACTCTCGTGAGGTTGAAGAAAGGAAAGAGGGATGACAACGAGTAGACGTATTCAGCACGATCAGTGTCCCGCACGAAGAGGCGCGCGCTATCGAGCATCAGTGACCAAAGAGATGCCTGGGAGCACCGTGAAGCGAGGGTCGTGAATAGCCTTTCCATGGCTCCCGTGGTTGGAACCGTAGAGAAGTGGAGTCGGAGGCTTTCGAGCGGTGCGTCTGACCACATGTTGATGAAAGCTGTTGTTGATTCAATTTCTGCCCTCCGGAGTTCTAGGATCTGGAGGGAGCAGAACATGGGCTGGTCAAATGATTTCGGAAACGAGATATTACGGACGGCCAAGGATTTGACGGTCGGAAGTCCGCCGACATGCTTTAAGGCTGCCAGATTAAGACTGGGGACGTTAATGTACTCGACGTGCAGTAATCCGAGCAACATCGCGGATATACTTCGTGTTTGGCGATGCGAGGAAAAGTCGGAATATATGGAGACGTCCCTCAGCGCCGGATGCTTTTGTGCCAGAGTGGAGAGGAAAGAAAGATGAGACAAATCGTCGCGAACACTGAAAGCGATACTTCCGATATGCGGCCCAAGGAACAGACGGATATAAAGAGGATCGGCAGAGTTGGACCAGTGAAGAGTAGAAAGATTCGGGAAAATACAGTCCCCAGGAAGACAGCGTTGAAGCGCCTCGAAAGCCTCTGATAACTGTATAGTTTTACAACCTATACAGAAGAAGAGCTTGACGCGATGCATGTAGATACTGGGCCGTTCCCAATCCGCAGAGACGATTGGACGACGTGGGCGCTATAGAAAAAATACGGGAAGATGCAGACTGAGACGGATTTTCTTACCAGCGCAGCAGCTACTCACCATCTGTTGTATTCCTTCCCCGACGTCTACCAATTCCCACAGGTCAGCTGGCATGCATTTAAGCAGGTTGACTATCGTTTCCTGGAATCCCCAGAGAATATCTAGTGCCGGGCTCTGCAAAACTCTGCACGTTCTCGCCAAAGAAACGACACTCTTTCCGTCGATACTGACAGTCCCCGCTCGAAAGGTCCGATACGTGTGATGGCATATCAGATCCACAATTTCCTGGATATTCAAGGCGTGATGCATGTTTTTGACCCAGAATGAGGATCTAAAGTGAAAGACAAAGGCTGCGGCAGTGCGGCGGTGTTGACACGTATTTGGGCCGTGTTTTGTGGCGCATCATCTTGACAGCCAGTTTTGGTAGCGAAAATGCATCGCGCCTTGCAGATTCTGCAGATTGTGAACACTATCTGCTCTCGTATGCATTCGCTCGCAGATCGTCAAGAGCTCGCTCGTCTGGCGGCGAGGACATGCATGACTCTCCATGGCCCTGCGCTAGATGCACTTTGGTGGCGTCAAGAGACAATCCTAAATATTCTTCGATGTATGTCATCTGGTCTGTGGGATATCGTAGTTCTCGGTGGATGGGTAAAGAAAGTGGTGAGTGACACCATTGGGAATCCTTGTCAAGCGATGGCCTTGACAGCGCCTGCGTCGGCCCATTAATGGTTATGGCGGATTGCGAACGGTCCCGCACTTAATTGCATGGAGTCAAGTGCTTTTATCACAACGGCATCGAAAGCCACAAGTTTCAGAGGCTTTCGATGCAATTAGCCTTTGGCTCCTCAGGGATTACATCTTTCCCAACCTCGAGTCGAACGGCTGGCATCCTTCGGAATCGTTGGCTTGCGAATTCACTTATATTCGCAGTTTCTTGGGCCCCGAATCAAAAGAATATCTGTGACAGTCTGTCCACATGCTCCTCCGTATCTCTCTTTTCCCGACCCTAGCGTGCAAACGTTTTTCTGCACTGACAGATATCAGCATCCATTCTGTGGACGAAGCGGATTTTGACTTGGAGGTTGGAGCTCTGCCCGCGCTTCTGGTTGGATTGTCACACCTTCAATCTATCGACGTGCGTGCGCTAGATCAAACAACGTTAGAGCACATAGCTCGACTCCCAAGTCCCACATCGTTGACCACAGGGGCATTTCTTTCTGCAGTTGCTTTCCTCCGAGTTCCCGATCTACCTATGTTTTCCAACCTCCGCAAGGTGGCAATACAATCAGGAGAAGTCACATCAGTCGCAGCGTTCGCCAGTATGTGGTCAAATTCTCCGCTTGAGAACCTTTCTCTGAGGTTCGGAACATATCCAACGACAGCCAAAGTAGACGATCTCTACACTTCCCTTGTCACAGGCTGCTCACACGCTGCTATGAATTTTTTAGTTGGAGGACTCCGACTGCGGCATCGACATACCACACACCCAATACAATGCGCATTTCCATTCGATCTCAATCCTGTTTTGTTTCATTTCATGAACCTTACGCAAATATTCATTACATCCTCCGTCGGATTCGACCTCGACGACGCTACAATATCGGATATGGCCCTCGCTTGGCCTCGCCTCATTTCGCTGCGCCTCAGGTCTCTACTTCAGCACGGCTACCGACGCGTCACACTGAACGGTCTTCTC